TTATAGTAGGACAGCAGGTTTCACAGGAAGTGATCTTTACAGGGGCTTTCCTTATCTTTGACTTGTTTGGCAAGATGTTTGATTTTTTGAATTAAAAAACATCTTCCTTTGATCAGACCTAACTAAACAAATGGTCCAATTTCTTTAGGTTAAAAGGGAGGCCTTTTTTACAGCAATAGATTTTTTGGGCAGCGGTGACTTAGTGGTTTAAGAAGCGGACTTGGGTCTGGAAGGCGTCAGGTTCGAGTCCACTAGCTGCCAAGTTACCACTGAGGTGCTCTGAGAATGACACCGTCCCCACACACTGCTCCCTGGGTGCTTAAAGCTGCCCACTGTTCACTTTGGTGAAGGGTTAAAAGCAGAGGTCACATTTCGTTGTGTGCAGTAGTGTGCTGTGTCACAATAACAAGTAGCTTTCTTTCTTTTCCTTTATTATGAGCGAAAATAATATTTTTCTGTAATATCACAATTCCTTTATCATCTTTCTCAACTAGCTAAACTAAAAACTAATTAAAAAACAACTAGCTTTTTTTTAAGTTTTAAGTTATTGGAACTAATGCTACCTTGAAAGTAAGCTTTGCCCATCCTTCACCTTCGTTGTGGGATTAAACCAGATCTGCATGGGGAAACTAGAGAGAGGCACTGACAAGCAACAGTCCATGAAAAATGAAGCCACGTCACATCCAGACCTCAGGCTGAGCATGTTGAGAAAATGAAGAGTGACGGGACTCATGCGAGGGTGGGCCCAGAGGTTGAGGAACACCCAGGTTACAGACAGCATTGGCCGTCTCTTACATCACTCAGCGCTCTCTCAGTGTCTTGAGTGTCTGAGTCTGGGCAGCTCTCCTCAATAGAAAGGAACATTTTTCAAATACCTAAAAAATATTTACACACCTGCACAATGTGTGGCAGTGGTACTCTGTTTAAGCCCCCACCGAGACCCTACAATTTAAAGCTTCAGCAACAGACAGTCTGGCTCAGGTCTGATAGTAAGAAACAACATTGGCACTGTTAGGAAAACACAGACAGCAGGTGAAACACATGCCACATGCCTGAGTGTAAGCTTGGGACAGTAGGTCGAGAGTCTGCCCCCGGGAAGCTGAGGTGTAATCACTGTTGTCTGTAAATTACCTATGGAGCAAAACAGAGTTCAGGCCAGTGCTAGGGGAGAGGTCAGCTATTATTATATTATTTTGAAGTCATGGAACAAATTCCAATGTACAATGTCAACACCAGACAGCGGAGGGAGGCCTTAATTATTCTAAGTATTCTAAGTGTGTTGGTTCACTTGCTCTCCTTTGTTTGTTTCCTTTTAGAAAAGCTTTCAGCACAGAAATAATAACAGTGTTTAGTTTAGCTTGGTGCATTTCTGAGGTGTGTAGCAAAAGAGGAATGTGGATAGGCTAAAAAGAAACACACATGTTCTAACTCCTTAAACATTAACAAAAACAGAGCTTACACGTATGAGAACTGTGGATATCTGAGGGAAAGAAGCCCATTTACAAAGACATGTTCCCAGCTCAGACCAGTACTCATGAGTGTCTTTAAATAGAAAATTACTGCCTGTAAAACTACAAATAAAAAGACTTGTGCTGTTTACAGTAACTCAAGGCATATTTGATCTTAATTGTTATTGGTTTTTGTAATTTTTGCACTGAAATATTCATGCAAGGACTTGTTTTAAAGCTGACTGACCTGGTTGATGGAATTGGCACTACAAGAGGCCAGGCCTGTTCCCAGAGAAGAGACAACGAAGATGAGGGGATCAAAGGGTACCGGAGCCATTGCATAACCAGCCGCTGCAGTTGTAACTACCAAAGCTGAAATAATAAAAAAAAGTTTTTTTAAAAAAATTCAGGTTAACAAGAAATAAACATGTGGCAAAAGCTGCTTAAGACCTTTTTTCACACCTGGTGTTAACCATGTATATAGACTACCTCTCATTTTTGCTCAGCTGTGATGATAGTTAACTGGTAATAAATCCATACAGCCCCAAGTAGTACTATATTCTCCATGCAAACAGGACAGGACAGAATCTGCTCTTGCTAATGGCTGATGTTCTACTTGCAAATCAACAGAATCACAATGAACAGGTTGTGAAGAGGGAAGGATTATGTGTTTTTTATAAGTTGATTCGTGTTAGGTTGGCTAAAGAGATTTAGAAACAAAGTGTGCAATTATGAGTCCTTGCATAGTTATTAAAGCAGAAACTAATGGGCTCTTTGTGTACATAAAAAGAACAACGGCTATAGTAGGTTTTTCTGGATTCATGTAAGAGCAAACTACAGCGTTAGCTTAAACTCATTCACTGCTTGACACAGTAGTTTCTTATCCTTGTAGTACTTCATCAACCTCTGCTAAAGTCAGATAAGACGTAGCATTATTTCCCCCGCAATTTGTTATTTGAACTATACTCTACCCGTTAGTTTGATTTTGGCCAGTTTGGCATAAATGCTTGGTAAGTCCTCCATTTCAACTTTCAGCATTTTCCACTGCCTGTCCAGTCGTGCTTCCTTTGACTCCTCTGACTCAATCAAGACGTGAGGATTCTCGTTGGTATTGACAGCAGTATTGGATACAGAAAGATTATGTGGCACCTTTGTACCGACAAGCTCTTCAGGTTGTGACATGGTGGTAACATCTTTTCTATCTGGCACATGTCCTTGGACCCCAATGGTGGGTATCCTTTCTGCCTGTCTATCAACACCATTATCACTTTCATCCACAATAGATGCAAGGGGTCTCTGTTTAGGGACGGCACGTTGATGAAGCTCATTGTTGTTTTTTGTTACATACTGAAAGAGAAAAAAAATACATAATTTTACTTTTAGAGCAAAAATATAAGGAACAGTTAGTTTATAGTGAAGGGAAGGGCATATATATAAAACGACTTATTTAATAAATACTACCTGGCGTTTAAGAAAGCTGAGATGCTGATAAGTCGACAGCCTAGACGTATCTCTCCTGTGCCAGTGTATCAGATTTCGGGCGGTTCTGTGCCATTGCGGAGCCTTTTGAACGATATTCGGTTTTACACTTGCACCAATTAGGCCTACAGTGATAAACAAAGCAGGTCATCACACTATCAATTGTCGTAGTTCAGTTATGTTGCAATAATGTATAGATAGCTATGAGGTTGTCAACAATAAAAAAAGAATACATTTCTATATAACCACCCTCTTAAAATGTGTGTTTCGTGCACAAAAAATATATAAGTTTTCTCTTGTGCGTTAATCAATTCACTTCCAAAAAGAATTTATTATCGTATTAGTTATTATACAACTGTTTTACAATACGGTATTTTCGTTTCCAAGTTGACACTGCTTGAATTGTAACTGCATGGTGTATGATCAGCAGTAAGTTCGCATACAATGATTTGATGTTTTAGTATGTTCACATACAACTTACTAAAGCCTGCGCTTTTATAAAACGTTAATAACATGCTCATTCACTTTCACTTGTGCATTAAAAGATGGCAAAATTGTGATTTAATAAATTTAATAGAAAACACTCGATAAGGAAATTTAGAGTAATACAAAGCAATTTAACACCAATGTCTTAAAAATTCCTAGTGGTCGGGAAAAAACAGTGGCCCGTTGCAAAAGTCTTATGCACTAATTGTTACACAAACATCCACTACTGCATCGACTTACGTAGAAAAAAATACACACACATTTTGGCAGTTCTACCGAATATCAATACGTATAAGACAGGATTTATGGACCGTTTTCCATAACCAATGAAAAGAAATGAACAGCCACTATCAAATGAACCGAGTCGGTGTACGAGTTATTTTGGTTTCTGCAGACTAAGATGACTTCTGATTAAGGTCACTGTTACTTCCCTGCACGTATCCGGTTCAACTATATGCTAAGCTAGCCGACTCGTTTTCGTCTTAGCCTTACTGGTATACACCAGCACGTAATATAATTAATATAATGTGTAGGTGGATTAGAGACACATTAGGGTTTTAATGGTATTACCTGACAGTCTGCTACATGGCCCTTTATACATGTTTCCCGGCACCCGTTTGACCCGTTCACATGCAGCAAGCCGCCATTTTGACCTTTCGCGGTGGAGTGAAGAACTTCCGGGTACATCCGGAAACCAGACTGGAGCGCAACAAAATAGGAAAACAATTCAGATTCACGTGTGTTTAAACTAATCATAATCTAAGAAATGTAAACATTATTATTAGTAGTAGTTAGTATTTCTATGCTGTGATTATACCTGGTATTTTTTGTTGACTTTTAAAGACTGTAATAATACCAAACACAAAGTGATTGTGATAAACCTTAAATGATTTGTGTTTTTTCTTGTTGCCTTTTTCGAGTTATGTTTCTAAGCTTGATGCATTCGCATCATAGACAGGTCAATGGCAATAAACATAAATGACAAAAAGTACTTTTTGAAGTGAGTAGTTTGTTCTTCTTCTTCTTTATTTATTTATTTGTGAAACACAACTGTGTTGGACCCCACGTTCATCATTATTTATCTGTATGAACATCTTTACCCAGGTTGTCATTTAAAGGATTAGTACAGTTAAGCAGGATGATAACTGATTTTTTGTTTTTTACAGCAATCATTATTTTTAACTTGCACGCTTAACTGATTTTTTTTTTACAGCAATCATTATTTTTAACTAACACTAGAAGGGTAACTTCGATGGGGTTTTTATCTGTCAGTTTATTTTTAGGTAAATGTTGCATACCAATTATTTACAGTAAAAGACAGATGCAAGACATCATTAGATGTACAATTGTACCACATCCATTTCTTTTTTAATTTTTTACGAAACATACACTTGAATGGCAAATGATTAATGTCTGTTTTTTGAAAGCAACAACATACTCTTTCTATTGCAGGCATTGTCAGTGACCACAAATCCTCCTGCAAAACCATGCATGAGTGTCCAATTCCTCTGATTCATTTTATTCATTCTACTCCACTGCTGGCTCCTCCTTCCTTCCCTGCCAAGATTACATGGTGTAATCTCCATGCACCATCAAGATGCAGAGCTGATGGATGCCAACATTACACATAAACCCATTCCAGATCCTGTACAATAGCACCTTTATTGCAGGAGATAACTGTTATGTGCTGTTGTGCACGATTTCATTCTGCAGTGACCCAGACAATCTCTACAGATGTAGTTTTGATGTTAGTGCAGAAAAGGAGGTTTATTGCCTGGCTTTACTTGTAGCAGTATTTATTTTTTAGAGGACTGCTATACAATTTCAATGTTCCACTTTTGCTTCATTTTTATCTTGTAGCACTGCATGCACACAGTTGTTTGGGGTTGGATCAAACATGTCAAGTTTGGGGCTGTATGAGGCACTGTTTCAAACCATAATCCTTGGGGTAGTGATCTGCAGGCAACCACTACTGACTGACTGATGTTCTTAAATGACTCTCATGACCCCACATTAACAAACAATAGCTTATGGGTACTTAATTTATTTCCATAAAATATATCTACAATATTTTACTGCATCAAATGATGCAATTCAAAGTCTTAATTATCAGTCCATGACAATTGGTCTGAAATCTTTAATAAAATCATTATTTTGTATATGAAAAAAACTTGCTTAAGTCAGAAAGATTTGCTGGTTTAGAAAATTGCGTAGTTTACACCATTATAAATACAAAGCCACAAATTTCTTTAATGCCTTGAAAGCATAAGGTGGACCAGAGGGCAGCTCCACAGCAGCAGATGGGTAAGTTGGAGTAAAATGGCTAAGAAACAATAAAGGAGGTTTATCAGGTCTGTTCAACCTAATGGACTAAAACAGACTTTAACCTTTACAGTTATTTGAACTCTCAAACATCCTCTTTAGAGAGTAAGTAAGACACAATTTTTTGTTTTGTTTGAGAGGAATGGCATTTGGCTTATCAGAAAAAGGCAGACTAATGTGAAGCTGCCAGGGAAGGCAAGTGGTGTGGTTTATAATGTTGTGTTTATAAGAGCTCATATGTTTAAGTGAAAGTGGGTTCACTTAATTTACGTGAAATAGCATTTTGTCATATATAGAATGTATAGTATATATATATATATATACACACACACACACATATGTATACATATATATATATATATGTATACATATGTGTGTGTGTGTGTATATATATATATATGTATATATATACAGGACTGTCTCAGAAAATTATGTATACATATATATATGGATATATATGGCCTTACACTGTATATATTAAAAAGAAAGAAAAACAATTCTGAAGTGTAGGGCAGATGTCAGCATGATGGATTAGAGCTGTGTTAAAAATCTCTGGCTGTCGATTTTACTGCGAAGTTAGTGTGGTGAGAGGAAGGCAGGTCCTTTAAGCAATTTCATGGGTCTAGGAATTTACTCCATTTTCTATTTTAAACACAGGTTCCTGGCACTTAGTGGTGAAAAGGTGACATGTTGAATCAATTGTAGGGAGCGTGGGCCCCAGGTTGTGTAAGCAAAGTGCTGAAGGGTCATTAATGGACAGTAATGAGAAAAGCCTTGTTATTTCATGCAAACAGCCTGCTGCCAACATATGGTCCCCAGGAAATAGCCAAATCATTTTTTATTCTACTTCTACATGCCCCACACTGGGGAACACACTAAGAGCCTAAAATGAGACACCCCCTCCCAGGAAGCTCTGGTTAAATGGTCTAGAGAAATAACGGAGGTCTCCCCAGCCTGTCATCGCCTCAGTTCATCTGCTGTGATTTACAAGCACTGTCCCAGAGGCTTTAGTGCCATCACTAATCCCTCAGGGATGACCATTCGAGTGGCAGTGGAGTCAGATCGTCTTAAAAACCCCGAAAGAGGCAGACAGCGCTGCATAACTCCAGGGAGTAACAGATGCAAAGATGCTTGGCTGTTTATAATTGATTTTCAAGGTCAACATCTTGTTGTCATAACTCGTCTAACAAGCCCTGGTCTGGCGCCCTGTTGCTCATCCTTTACATGGTGTTAAAAGGAGCAGGCATTCACAACCACCCTTCTCCTGGCTCTCAGGATGGCACCATGATGAAATACTGACATCACTGAAAGAATTTTTCCTCTGGGACAGACACTTGTACTTGTTCTTTTAAAAGGTATGTGGAGTGGAAGAGGCATCCAAAAACTGCAGCGAAGGACTGCTTTTATCCCCAGCTGCTGGCCATAGGCCTGCCCTCTATCCAGAGAAAACAGGTATTCTCAGGTCCTATGACCGCCAATGTTTATGTCTGAGATTGCCAATGTCTGTGTGGGCCTCCAAGGCTAAGCCTCTAATTGGCCAAGGCTCATCAATCATACAGAAAACCCCTTTTCACTCAAAGACTCATCCAAACAGTGAAGGAGACCTATAGAATAGACTCCATGCCTCCCAAAGGCCTAAAACTGGACTTGGATATGTAGAGTGGTTTATGAGAAAGTCGTGCTTAGTCCAAGTTTTTGTCAAGCGACGCACATCCTTCCCTTTTACCTACAAAAAATATCAAAAACATTAATAATAATCCCAGTTCATGATACATTATGGAACACAAAGTACTTTTAGTAGTGATCTACATGAGCAGTTTTTTAAACGTCTTTGCATCTAAACAGGCTTACCCTATGACCAGTTTTTAAAACGTCTTTGCATCTAAACAGGCTTACACAGCAGCAGAAACCTCTGGCTTTCCTTTGTTTTTTACTTGATGTTTGCACTTGAACTTGACCTTGCTAAGATTTATGGTGTGTACATGTGAGAACAAGGCCATTTCTGTCATTCAACTTTGTTTTCTTGGTTCAGTCGGCGTCTCTTAGCCACTTTATATGTGATCTGACTAGGTGATACACTGAGTTGGTTGTGGACTGTAATCCAGAAGCATGCTCCAGACAGGGTCACAAAGGTCATAACAACTCCTCAGCCATTATTTGGTTTGGCTGAACCCTTAAAGTCCAGGATTTGGCCACAGCATAGCGCTAGGCACAAATTTGTCAAGAGGAATAAAGAAAAGTCCACAACACATGCGGTTTCTGGGGTCACAGGAAAGGCTTCACATTGTTTCACATCCAGAGACAGCATGCATACCACTGAATGTGTTTTTCCCATTAGTCTGGTTGTGTGTTTTTCTTATTTTTTATTTCCCCATTTCTTCATTCTTTACTGAAATACTTGTCATTCATTCATGTTTCTGCAACAAGTAGTGTTCCACGATGTTAACGTGCGTGGGAAACTTGCACAAAGGATGTCATGGAGGTTTGGTACCGATCAAGTCTAATGACAACTACAAACATATCTGGAGTGCTGAGGTTCCATTTGTCCCTTCATGAACACAAACACACACAGTAGAAGAAGCCGAAACCAGACCATGTCCAATTCTTTTCAGTAACTGAGAGTAATCGGCTGTGTCATCCCCATCATAAATCTCCAAGTGTGGCAGCGACTTCCAGCCCAGATGGGAATAGGCCTCATTCAGTCGCACTTGCCTCCATGTCATAAATTCATGGCCGCCTTTGCTGGATCAGTTTCCTGCCTTGTGTCTCTCTCCCAACAGAGGAGCACATGGGGGAGGTGAGGATATTGCAAGACCGCAGTCTCCTGAAGGAGTCAATTTGCAAAATGGACTGTCTTTCTTCCTGCCGAAATAATGTGGGGTTTCCTTCAGGCATTTATTTTGCCATCAGTTAAACATTGTCAGCTTGAACCCAGTAGATGTGGAGTTCTGAGAATCAAAGGGAGAAACGTGTCATCCTGTAGGTTAATGTAGAAAACTATTAACAAGAAATCTTCAGATTCAAGGCTATTCACAACTGTATTGTGTATGTAAACTGATAAAATTATACACATGACCATGTGACCTTGTCAGCCTGTTAGATAAATATATACTATACTATACTATACTATACTATACTATACTATACTATACTATACTATACTATACTATACTATACTATACTATACTGTACTATACTATACTATATACTAACACATATTTGATTTTATTAAAGAGCTTGTGTAATTATTTCTCTAAAGAGTTTTAATTCAGTCTGTGAAGAAAATATACTTTTGCTCTTCTAACACCTCAAAGCCACAGATCATCTCAGATATATTTTGTCTGGCTGCTCATAAGGCAACCCTGAAAGTTGGTGGTCTGTGGGATTTTATGAAACA